GACATCCATAGCCTTTGGATGCATCGCGATGTCTGTCCAAGAGGAGCCAAAAGTGCCCGTCTTCAGATCATCATAGAACTAGGCAGAAAGGGAGAGAGTTAGGGGACATCCTTCTCACCTTCTGTGCTAAGGGCTGAATCGCATCATTGTTGATCTTTACGTGGTCCGCATGCTCCGTGATAAATTTGGCGGATTCGCGTGGCGACAAGTGCTCGGAGGGGGTGCCGGGACACATACTGAAGTGGCTGAAAAAAAGGTACAACCTGGTCAGAGTGGAGGCGGATTAAACCAAAACCGGATTTATCTGTGGTCAGACGTATAGTGGAAGGGAAACATAAGTACGGCGTTGCAGCTGAGAGGAAACTGGAATAGGCTGAAACGGCGGCTTATGGATAAATAAGGGGTTGAAGGTCGCCTCTAACACCTGTAGTTCATTACGATACACTCCTTGATCGCCCAAAACGACATAATGACGGTGGATACTATTAGAATCTCCGGAGTCTGCACGACTCCCGCCTACAGTGACATGTATTGTGAATGGCTGGGGTAATTTCATAATGCTCTGACGTCTTCGACTAAGCCGTACGTGGGTGGGAGGGCGGAGAAGCTGGCGGGTGGAAGTGGATTAAAAGGCTGGCATTTCCGCGGCACCGGCGCAGACTCTCCCGAACCTTGTATCAGCGGCGGTGTGCCGTCTGGCGTGGAAATAGCATCTGAACTGTAGCTTAAAATCTCGCAAGACGCCTCGAAGCAGAAGTACAGAAAGTGCGATTGGAGACTAGCGCATATAATGAATGGTTGAGCATCTAAAATAAAGGTGATCGTCAGAGGCTGCAAATAGGGGAAGGCATGTACACAGAGGACGGCATGAATGCCACGTCAGATCAGATTCTACGTTTGAATCTGGGCAGACGGCCGCCCTTCCAGTCTGGCAGGTGCCTTTGCAGCATTCTGCTGGGCTTTTACAGCTCGTCAGAACCCATGCCATCCTGCGGACAGCCCTGTTTCCTCGTCCGGTCGCATTGTGTCCAAACAGACCATAAGGGTTGTCAAAATGGGAGCACAATGTCAGCAGCGCTGGGTTCCGTGAGCAGAAACATGGGAAGACGGTTGACTTCTGGTTTTGTCTGACTCACAAATACTGCCTATTATATCCCTGGCAGTCGGCTAATCAGTCCTAACCTCCATCCTATTCCCTAAGACTTATGAGAATAATCAGCCGTATAAGGACAAATGGTCGCGCGAAAGCAGGTCCTAATAAGAAAGACAGGGAATAAGTGGTGGGACAAATTGAAGGCAGGAATTTGATTAACAGAAACTAGACGACAGTTCACAGAACTGGACCTCCTGCACTCCGGAGCCTAAGTTTGCTGCTGCTTTAAAAATCTCAAATGTCCTGCGGGCCGCAGTCAGACGCAATACATACAACGCAGAATATCAGCCTTGGCCCGAAATTCCGCTTACGTGACAGTCGAAACCGAGCGATGGGCAACGGCTGATGTCTGATCTTTGGACAGCAGTAAGAGGCGTCTCCTACGTCACGAGCTACGGCCCTGAATGCCGCCTGGGATAGATCTGGGTTTAATGGCACTTGCTAAACACAGCGAGATGGACCGTGAGCCGAGGGGACCGACCTAACTTGTTATGCAGGATTGACTAACCAACTTTTTAAACTCCCAACTCTTACCTGAGGCGAGCTTGAAATTAAAAAATAACGCAACCGGCAACCAGAAGTACATTTGCTGCCTGGGATGGCAAGCATCGGCTCTAAACAACTGCGGTTAACAACGGGCTTCAACTTCCCAAACTTTTCATTTCTGTGTCTTCGTCGCCACTTGGCGTCATCCGTCCTGGAGTTCTTCACCATTTTATAGAAATAAGGGAACTTGACGGCTACCTGAAGATAGAACTTGACCCGCAGTTCAGGTCCATGAGTTCACGGTGTTTGTTAAAGCACTTACGCCCTGTGATGGACATCTCTTAGCTAGTCTTCCACGTCGCATTTGATCATCAAAGCTGTTTCACGCATAGTGACACCTAAACCACTTTATTTGTGTTGTTCTGAGAAGGCAGGCGGAGGTCGCGGCTAAAATGCGCACCTACGCAGACTTGGAAAAACCTCCGGTGAGATTTAAAGCAGGCAAAAGACACAAAGCCGACTTCTGTGTGAAGCGTCCCTCGAGGATACGTAATTGATGGGAAAATTCACACTATCTGTAGGCAACGATCACTGTTTTGAATGTTCAATTTAACTGGGGAGGCCGCCCGGGAGTTTTACACGCCAATGTTTACATATTTCGTCATACTCAAAAAACGGTTTCTAGGACGCGGCCCCTAGACGAATGAAAAGATGTGGGTTT